CTGTGCCATCGCATGTCCTATCTTACCTGTGTGAGACTAAAGCCCAATCTTAAACATATGCCTGGTGAAGTATGCCTTGCAAGTATGGCTTCAGGGTATACCTTGTGCATATGATTTATGTTTTGCACATGACCTCATTATGAGGTCATGGGGTTTACGCGTGTGACTACTTTGAGCCATATGACTTGTTTATTGAGTTATGATTAGTTTATGTAACTGGTACGGGTACTCGGTTATTAGTTTTGTTTTGTGTTATGTTTTAAGTATTGCTTTGATACTTGGTTTTGTTTTGTGTTATGTTTTAAGTATCACTTTGATACTTGGTTTGTTTTAAGTATTGTTTGATACTTAGTTTTGTTTTATGTTTTGTTTTAAGTATCGCTTTGATACTTTATTAGTTTTACCAAAGTGTATCAATTGATACCTTTGATTAATTTTGTTCATGCCAGATATGAACAGAATTGTGTATTTAAAGACCGCCTATTTCTACGAGAGAAAAGGCAGACTTCGACAGACAGTATTTCAATATACTTGGTTGAACGGTTATATCTTTGTTCCTCAGTACACCCTCGAAGCCTCCCTTAGTTCTCAGCTCTCACCTCCTGTCTGGAAGAGCAGGCCACCTGCCAACCATCATATCTATTACCGATAATGTGATTAGTACCTTGCGAACACGTTACATTTTTTTAACCTCAGCAAGTGGTTATGAACCTGTCCCCAGATTTAGGCCTGATCAACCTATGGATATTCACCTTAGAACGCTAGCAGAGAGAAGCGGCAGAATCACGGCACATTCAGCTTCGTCTCAAATTCAACATAGAGTCTTTGACGACTAGGAGTGGGAAACAAATCCCACGACAAGACCTTACAAGAAAGAAATAACCACGATATTCTGATAAGGAGCCAGGAGAACTTGCAAACACAGAAGACACACAACCTCCAGGAGAATTCCCTTCTACTCCAGCAAAGAAGCCTTTCTTTGAACCTCCAATCGACCCTGAATCCAGCAGTGAATCAGACCTGGCTAGTACAGGAGGAGGACCCTTTGGAGGAGGAAGATCTTGGGCTCTGCTTGTAGAAGAGGAAGTACCCACAGCATTTGAACCTCCTAAGTTTAAACTCCACCTCCCAGCGAAGTTCACAGGAGAAGGAAAAGATCTCAAACCCAAAGCCTTTGATCGATGGGTGACGGAACTTACATACTATCTTCTCCTGTAAGGGAAAGATATGGAGGACCCTACAACCGGACTATACGTTGGATCTTTTTGTGAAGGAAAGGCAACTGACGCATACTACCAATGCTATAAGGATTACGGCGGAAATGTAAGGTTAAGAGGATCTACAGTTCTCAATTACCTGAAAGGCAGATTCCAATCCTCTATCACCAATAACCTCCTGTACAACAAATTC